CGTTGAATTTTATGCTTAAAGCTTTACCAGTTTCCCACGCCATCCTGAATTACTTTGTTCGCTCCCCCAATTACGATCGCAAATTACCCTATTCCCACGAGCACAGTCTTAATTCAAATTGGCAGTTCTCTGACTCGTCCATTTTGTTTGTGTTTTTCTTCATTGCAAAATTGATGCAAAATGTAGGTTCTTTCTAAAAAATTTATAAGTTTCCGTATTAAATTAGGGAAATATACATTTATAAACTTTGCTTTTCGTACTGAGAAAAAATGCAAGTTTTTATTTGACCTTGTTCGATAATTTTCCGAAAAAAAATTAGAAACGGCACCGATTTATTTGTAATTCACATCGTAATTGGATCTGAATTACCAACAAGTAAGGTAATTCGTTCTTCAAAATTTTGGATCGGGAATTACGTAATTCGAAGAGTAGTTGGAGTGCGAATTACGGAATGAGAGAGCGAATAACGTAATTGAGGTGCCGTGAGAAAGCCGTTTAAGTATCCAGTTCTAAAAAAAAAACCAAAACGTGGGGTTAAATCATGGTGGCACAGAGAAGAAACCTTACTTTTCCTTGAATTGTGGGAATAACAAGCACATCAAATTTGACGGCTAGAAATCTGCGAAGTGCCTTTGTGAACGGGGTAATTAACAAACTAGCTATGATGGAAATTTTTTGAATATGTTAACATACTTTTAGTAAATACAATCTCATGACGATGTTGTATAAATTTCATTCGATACATCGATGTACATTCGATGCCCAAAAACATCGATGTATTTTTGTTACTTGTATATCTAGTTAGGGTATAAGCTTTTATTCACAATAGTAGATCTGGTATACACTCGATAGTACCGCCATTCGATAGTTTTCGAAACGATAGTTAAAAACATCGATAGTATCGATTGTACTATCGTCATGAAAGGTATTGAATTGAAACGCTCAATTGCTTGGAAATTAAATAATTAATATATTTATAAAATTTATAAATTTCTTTGTAAATTTAAGAGATTGTATGTATATATTTTTTTAATTTGAGTGTATTAAAAAGAACTGCTTATAAAAATAAAATAAACTTTTTAATTCATGCGTCTGAATTATATAACTTATATACATACACTTGCATCCCCTTGAATAGCGACAGGCAAAATCTGAATTTAATTTTTATATGGCGAAATTAAATTCGGAATTTCTTTGTCACTTTTGAAGTGCAAAGAAGTGAAACTGGCTATAAAAATACATTTATACTACTACAAAACAAACAAAATAAAAGATATTCGTTTAAATTGACAACTCATACTTATAAAAGTTCAACTGAGATCAAATACGGAGACGCATATCAAAATCCGGACAAAGAAAAATATTAACATTTTGCCATGTTATAAGAAAACGAATATGGTATTGCAACATTTTTAGCAGTTTTGACTATTTTTTTGTTTATTTGGTGTCTACTAATTTTTTATAAAATTGTATAAAACATAAAAAACTACAAAATAATTAAAAAATTCAAGCCTTTTAATTAGAATTTCTATAAAAAATTTTGTCTAAGCAGTTTTATAGCTTATTAANAAGTTCAACTGAGATCAAATACGGAGACGCATATCAAAATCCGGACAAAGAAAAATATTAACATTTTGCCATGTTATAAGAAAACGAATATGGTATTGCAACATTTTTAGCAGTTTTGACTATTTTTTTGTTTATTTGGTGTCTACTAATTTTTTATAAAATTGTATAAAACATAAAAAACTACAAAATAATTAAAAAATTCAAGCCTTTTAATTAGAATTTCTATAAAAAATTTTGTGTAAGCAGTTTTATAGCTTATTAAATTTTACTATAACTCAGCGTAAGCTTATAGTTGCTAAAAATCCCAATGACTTAAATTTTTTTACGACTGTGTTGTGAATTTTCTTGTATAAAAAAAAAATAATGTAATGTAGAGATGTAAAGAAGAGACATTGTGAAGTCTTGCTAAAACCGTCATCGATAGTTTTCAAAAACTATCGATACGGGCGACAGTTCTCAACTATCAATACTATCAATAGTATCCCAGCTCTACACAATAGCACTCCATTGTTCCGATATGAAAAGTTGGCATATTCAATGATCATGATATGAAATAATGAACTGTTTGGAATTTGAAAATTTACTCATTCCTCGCATGTATAGCGGACTCCTTTTATGAGCTTATAAGCTATCTCACCTACCATAATTTTCCACTTAAAATTATTTTGCCAGACTAGATTCAGAGTGGAAATAGGTATGTAAAACATCGCCTATTTGTACAGTATTAAGATTTATTAAAAACTACGCTTTACAAATACACACAAGTACAAACTCTACGCTCATCCAGCAACCCTGCCAATCAAAACGCTAACTTTTTCATCAGCAAGTACATTTGTTGATCAACTTCAAAGCCGTGCAAGTTGTTGGCATCACCTTGTAGACGCATCAGCAGGCCACCGAAGGAAACGTACGCTGATAATCTGGAAGACGCTTCATTATGAGCTTCATCGCCTTCGATTCGATACACTTTTCCAAACATAACATATTCGAAGCTATCCGCACGTGTGCCTTCCTGTTCCAGCGGGTTAAATTCGCCACTGTCCGGACAGCCGTCTTCTCGCAAAGTTGTAGCCAGCACCAAGCGGAATTTATCACCTAATTCCATGGGGTATAACCATGAATTAATATCGAGTATCAAATCCATTTTAAACGATTCAGACTCGCAATGCAGCCGCGAGACACGATCGAATTTTTTGCCTTCCGGATCCATGTCTTTCACATTGAAGATATCTTCGAATAGAACGCCGGCCATATTTGTTTGTGGTTGAACTCTGAAAAGTGCAAAGACAGATGAGAAATATTGTAGTTTATTTTCATTCAAATACCTTTATTTGTGCCACTTTATTTGTTTTGATAAAACACGCCTTCTGTGAGACAAGTTGTGTGCGGTGGTTGCACATTCAGTCAGCCGGCTTGTCAAATTTGACAGTGGGCTGTGTGACATCTTCCGAGTTGCCATTTCTTCAAAAATGTTTGTGGTATGAGGAATTTCAGCGGTGATGTGTATTTCCAAAAATTTATTGATGATATTCGGTGTATTCAATAAGATTTTCAAATGTCAAAATTTTTAATAATCATCCAGGATTTCCTAAACGGAATTATTTAAGAATAATTTCTTGATATGGGAAATTAAATTTAGCTGTTCAATGAAAGAAAACATAGGTTTGTATAGTAACAAATAGTCAGACTTATTTGTGCAATCCGTCCACAGCAAAAGAAGAAAGGTAGAATTTATAAAAAGCATTCCTGAAATATTGAATTTTCTGATAATTCTTTTTAGATATAATAGGAGCCACATTGCTACACGTTCAAAAAAAAAAAACATGCCTGAATGGGCAAATCAAATCTAAGTGTCGTTCAATTTTCGAGAGGTTGATGGTTGGCCTAGATACAGCTAAAAATGTAGTTACCGCTGTTGCTGTGCTTCATAACATTGCCAAAGAACGAAACTTTTCATATAAGTCCTCTACTTTGAATTAAAACCTGCAAAATTAACTACACTAAACATATTTTCTTAGTTTTGGATGCGGATACCACTACTCCCCGGGTATCAGTTGCATAATGCGGAGACACCCTAGAAACCACTTTAAATTCAGGGAGAGCATAAAGAACTGAATTTTAATAAATATTTCTGACTACTATTTTACTAATTTAAATTGAAACCCAAACATCCTTCATATGCACATATTTATTTAAAATTTAAGTGAACATGCATGTATACATTATAGAACGCGTAAAAAAATTAAATTCAGTCTTTCCTTATTTCATAAAAACTACGACTATGTAGGAAACAGCCTTTTAAAACTACAGGTACGGCATCTAAACAATTGGTTCAGATAACGTAACTAATTCACTACACTTATTTCTTATTTGGAGGCGAATTAGTTGGCATTTTAGGTCCATCAGGTTATTTCTTTTATGCATTCGAGCCTGATGCGAAATTTCTGCACTACCGTATCCATTCCATTGGCTTCCCAAGCATCTTTCTTCCGTTTAATCATCCGGAGGTCATTTTGTTCGATTACATCCATGTACCCGTTGACCAAATCCCGCAAGCAGTCTTTCTCGGCTGCAGCCCAGTTGAGTTCGCGTTTCCTTGCCTGTAGAGAAAATGTTTATTTAAACAACCGCTAGAAAAACAATAAAAAATTACTTACTCTTGCTTTTCGTATGTACCCTGAAGACGGGTGCTGTATTAATCGATAAACAGTTATATCGTATTTCATGTACAGCATTTCACATCAATTATCGTCTTTTACTTAGGATAAAAACAAAAATCACTTTCGAAACCTATTTTTAATGATTTCCATGATAAAAACATAGCAAGGTAGAACCGTTCTCTCAATTTGTCGGCCATTGTTTTTTTTTTGAAGTTTGCCAACATTTTAAAATCATATAAAAGTGAAAATAAAAAATTGAAATTGTTCGAAATTGTTGTTGCTTGAGATTGAAAATGAAAATGTGTGTGTGAGTTTGTGAGTAAATTTAAAAATTAAAATGTTTGGAAACGTCAAGAATTTTAAAAGTGACTCTCAGCGGTTCTACCTTACTATATTTTTATCATGATGATTTCTAACAACAAACCCGCCTTTTGTTGTAAAATTCTCATCTTAAAAAAATCCCTCGATAAAATTCATTAGTTAATTTAGGATATTTCCCCCCAGATTTCGATGTCTTCCTCCCTTAAGAAGACAAGGAGCTTACCCGAGGAGGCCCTAGAGTGCTTAAGATTTGCCTGGACGACCTCCATCGACTTTTTCGGCATTTTCAACTAGCTCTGTGCCTGCCAACACCTGGTTGGCACCTTCAGCGACCTCTTCGTTCGCGGTAACATTGAGGGTCATATTGCCCAACATCTGGTAAGCGTCCTCGATATCAGCCTGGAATCGGTTCATTGGAGTAGAATATTTTTAGTATAGCTGTTCTCACCGTGAAGAGCAGCTTTTTGTAAATTTTTTGCAAATGCTCAATACATTCTTCGTTAAGTCTCAGAAGGTACGAAGAACTGTGCGCGCCCTCTTGAGGATTTTCCGCACGAATGACTGGTATCTCCACTCATTGGTATCTCCAGATTCTTCTGTTGCAGGAAACAGATCAGCTTGTCGCTGTCCATACACATCTTCGGCAGCCAAATGCGGACCCTAGGTTTCCTAGGTTTCTCCTCGGCAGGCATTAGTTTGAACTTCAAACCCTTCCAGGCGTTGTTGAGCTGGACTACGCACTTGCCGATAATTTCCCTAGAGAAATCATCTCTACATTTGAAAATCCGACAACCCCTCAGGGACTCACTGGAGTCAAATCCTAGAATAGAGCTGTCCGGATTTTCAAACACCCGTTCAGAGAGTTTTGACTCGATCTCGACCGACCTCTCCTGAACGGGCTTATCGCTGCCTTCGCTGGCTTCGTTGACAAGCGCGACCTGAAGGTGATCCCTGGCCCCCTCGCACCATCGTTTCGCCAACGTTTCTTCTTTCTGGGGCGTGCTTTTCGAGTCCGCCCTTTTTCCAGCAGGTTCTGCTGTAGATTTCTCCTTAGGTCACCTTCGTTTAAATGCCATAGGGTTCTTTGTTGGTTTTGAAGTAAGGTACTGTGAGGACCAAATGTCCCTGAATAATTTGGCCCATCGCAATAGAAGCCAAAGCAGCCATCCAGGCAACAAGTCGCAGCAACACAAGTCATAGCCACACCCGACAGCCTCTTCGTCGCTGTGATAAAGCAACATGTAGTTGCGCGACCACGTAACATCAAGCACATAGCCTATTAAAGATACAACACGACCGTAAAAGAGTCAGCCAGCACGGAGCTGTGGTAGCGACTGAACAGCTACGACTGGATGGAGCGATTTATTGTGCATCGTTGATAACACCACAAGAGATCATCGCTCAGTAGTAGAGAGCACCAAACCGGCTTGGATCACCGCCTGGCACAGTATACCGTAACGCCGCGAGCGGGCGACACCCACTCGCCTACCCTACTCACCGGCGCGACTCACAAACATTGCCGAGAGCGCTACGTACCGACGCGACCAAAGCACCACTCACCGACGTTAGCAGCGTGCCAGCCGTTCGTCGGCGTCAGCAGAACGCTGCCCACCAGCACTAAAGCCACGCCACTACGGCATAACGGGCCAGTAGAAGGTCTGATGTTTTAAGAAAAATCAATTGCTTTGTTTATATTCATAAGGCTCATTGTGTCTGCCAATAACTAACGAGGATTTGACATCATAAAATTATGTTCATGTAAATATAAATATTATCTCAATCAAAACTCGGTTTAAATCATCCCGTTTACACAGGCAAATCTTATATTATTAGCCGTCAAATATGTTGTGCTTGTTATTCTCACATCTCAAGGAAAAGTTATGTTTCTTCTCTGTGCCACCGTGATCCTTTTTTGTGCTTGATTAAGCAATTTAAATATATTTTAAGTTAATATTTTATTAAAAATACTTTTACAAACCTCTTTTCCTTGCAAGCGTCCCTTTTTGTTTACTTTTACATTTGGCATTTCTCCTCTTCTTCGCAAAAATAATCGATAAAACTAGGTTGGACACCGAAAAGTTATCGGTTAAATCTGAGATTATTTCATAGTTACAGATTAACGAGGGACGAATTTTGTATGACTAATCCCTTTTTCTAATTACAGATTAGGGAGTTAAGGTCGAAGTTGAGGAGATTATCCTTATATGTAAACCTAGTATATGAGAAAAGAGCATTGAGCGCCATCTGGCTGCCGCTCAGTATTATAATTCTCTCATTTCAGTACCCTCTCGAATATTTCCCCATTGGAACAGAGATCCTTGTCCTGAGCCCGAGGATTCCAGCCTCTTATCCTTCTGGGGTCTTCGAGCCATCTGTGTACCAATGCAATGTGCAACTATAAAGCAGTCCCTCGAAGTCGGATATGCTATGGCTCTATTTTAAATATATTCTTAAATACTACGGTTCCGCCTATGTCATCTCTAGGGAACAGATGTAGCGGGAGCCATATTCCTAGAGGGTATAATCTTACCTTTTCCAGATTCATCTCAAGCAGAGCTAAGCAGAGTTCATTTGGCTAACTGCTCTATGAAAACTACTTCCAGAAGTTTGCTGTCTAGGATTAGCCCCAGATACTTAACTTGGCTGGCGACGTTGACAACGACTCGCTCCAGGGTTTTGTCCCTCAGGATGGCAGAGCTCTTTTCCTAGTATTTAAGTGGAATGAGGGCGGTTCATCCACTACAACACTCCACAGAGCAGGGGATAAAAGCCCTCTCACAGAACACTCCTTTTTTTGTTAGTAGTTGTACCACGTTGTACCCTATTTCGGTTTCAGCAATTCCACTGCAGCGGGGTATCCATCCAAATGCGGATCACTGGCATGCACGTTTCTTTTCTCGAGCGTTCTGCGCACTCCAGATTGCGACGTACTATCAAACGCTGCTTCTATAACAAGGCAAGCACAGCACAGCACGGCTTCAACTGTCTACTTTATAATGGAGCTGTCATTGGCGGTCAACAGTTGCAGTCCCATAAGCATTACAGTGTAGACAGTTCAGAGATAAGCTTAGTATCCAGCTCTTAAGANTTTTTTGTGAAAAAAGAGCACAAGGCAACCCAGGTTTGCAACAGAAATATATGCCCGTTCCATTATTTCTTGAGGAAAGAGTGAGGCAACAGGCTGTGAGGTATAAAAAATGTCAAAATTCCTTGGACACACACGCGAAATAATGGCAATTTTTTCTTGACCGTTTTCTTGAGAGCTGCATACAGGGCTATAAACTAAACGAAAACTCTCGTCCGTTGACGATTGTCATAGCCGAGCGATCCGTGAGCCTATGTTGCTTAAACAACAACAACGCAATACTTTGTTCGTGCACGTTGATGCTTGCACAGATCAAAGAATCGTGGTTAGATTTTCATTTTTTACAC